GTATTTATTTATGAGATGATGTATGAAAAGTATTCAAAGTAATTTTTTAGAATATATTATTTTCAAGACATTCAGAAATCTAGAAAATTACCTAGATCTTCGATTGCGAAAACTTTGCTATATATAAAATCGCACATAAAAAGTGGCTGGATCAACGATTGATGTCAATTGAAAAAGCTGCGAGGAGAGGAAGGATCAACGAGCATGCGCGTTAACGGTAATTCGAGGTCTCTTTTCGAGATCGTTTTTCGTCGTGTCACTTATCGATGCTTCTTCACGAAGACGTCCGACATTAGCCCAGTTGAACACAAGAAATACCGATATCGATGTAGCTTCGGGAAGGATTCTTTGCCCGCGTTACAGAGAGTATCCGTGTTCGGTGAAAAATTCTAACTCCACGCGATTCCGTTGATGAACGTCGTTTGGAGCTCTGTTTTATCCCAGAGAGTATCTAGAAAGAAAAATAACGAAATGTGACAGTTCTTAATATGCTTGATTCTTAAATCCTGAGAAGTCTTTCAATACACGTTTGTTGAGTGGTTTTAGAAATTGTGAAAACCAGAAATAAACATTGTTTATTCCTACATTTTATGAAATCGCGAGATTCGTATCAAAATTTTGCTCGAATAATGAACATTTTGATTCATGATTATCTCGTTTCATTCAAGGTCCTTTCCCGGATAGGTATATGAAGATTATAGAGGTAAATCCCGTTATTTATCTTTCTCTTGAAATAGGAATTCGCCTAGCTCCGGTAAAGCCGTAATAACACAAAAGTAAGCAGAGATCCTATAATATCATGCTCCTGATACAATAAAGTTATATTTTTTCGCGTCGAGAACTTTTTAACGTTCGCACGGGACCAGGCAGATTAAAAGGAGCGTTCATTTGTTTTTACATTACGGATCATGAGAAATCGTTTCCCTTTATGATGTTTAATAAAGGACGAAATAATCATAACCAGGGAGCGCGAAAATAAAAACCTCTGGCTATAAAATTACTTTTCTCGGCACCGAAACTCGTACATTTGTGTTCGCAGAAATTCAATGTGACTCGTTCCCAGCGATTTCGTTCGAAATTCAAATAAACGTGAATTGTACCATATTATTTATTTTCTTAATTTAATTGAAATACGTAAATTTATCTCTTTTTCTCACTTATTGATATGAACAATTTTTTAACGATTTATTTTTGTTATGAGGAAAATATAGTTATATGAAAATATTTCATATTTTAAACAGTTTCACAATTAAAAATCTGTTCGTAGAATATTTTTTAATAAAATTTACGTGTACATTGAACGCGATTAAAATGAAAGCAGATAAAATTTAAGGATTACGTTACGTTCTACCTAATTGGACATAGTTTGAATTTTTATAGACGTTTATTGACTTCTTATTTTAACATACATGCCTCTGAGCGTGTGAAAGGGGATGAAATTCTGAGGCAAAAGTTTCTTTTCCACTTTTTCCTACAACTTAACGAAGTTATTAACGAAAAAAAGTTGACCGATAGTGTACCGCGTGCGACGGCCACTCATTGTCAGCGCGAGGCCCGGCCGCAACAGGTTGTTGATGCTGTGTATTGCAGGTGCACAGACCCACATGGCGCTCGTACGTCTACGTAACGTCGTTTAACTTGCAGTCACACGTGTTTACATCTTCACAATTTAAGATGATTCCTTTAATATTCCAGCATCCGAATAATATTATGAAATTAAATCATGTTCTGGTTTAGACTTTCAAAATGAAATCTGTATCTTTTTTTACCTATTAGATCGCCGCATACGTTTTGAAGAAAAAAATATTATGGTGTATGCGTGTTTATATTATAGCGCGTTCAGTTAATCGAAAATCAAGATAAAAATCAGGCAGCATGAAAATTCTTTTAATAATTGTCAATTGTTAATAGAAAACATGCACTCTCTCAAAATGAAGAATAGACGATCATTCATTCGTTTCTTTTAAACGCGTTATTATATTGAATCTTACAATGGACGCTTTCTACTTGGTTTTACAATCTCGCAGCGCTGATTATTTAATTTTTCCGGCTCTTTTGATTTCGTACTAAATCAGACGATTCCGGATCGATTCTCGCATCGTTCTGCAGGTGTCTTTTGAAGCGGAAATCTTTAAGTGTCACTCGAGCCGTGATACTCGACTAATAGAATTCAGAGGAATTCCAAGACAGATACCTCGGTGGAATTTTAATTTCAACGAGGAATCCCTTGCACCTCCTGATTAAATTGGAATTTCCCGAGTCTGACTGTGAGTTCGATTAGCGAGCACTGTTTCCGGATTCTTCAATATCGAATCGTTCTCGTCCTCTATGTTTCGCTTCATATTTCATTTAATGCTGAATTAAATATTATTTAATGATCGTTCTTATTTGTATCAAAATTGCATATACCGATAGTAAATAATTATCGTTCGACTACTATGTTTGAACAGTTTAATGTAGGCACATAATGGTTATACTCTTACGTTTTCCTCCCACGATAATTAACTCGAATTCCATTGGAGTAGCTTATTTAGAAGACGCGACTCGTCGCATCGCGACGCTACCCTACCTAAAGCACGACGTAACTTCCAATGTAGTTCAAAGGTAAACAAATCCTTTGTTCATAGTTAATGGTTTCGTTAGCGCCCAGCAACAATGCTTCCAAATACGTTGTACGTGCACGTAATGTTATCACGTGCATACTTGCCCCGCTCCTGTGACGTCTCCGTCCCGGGACTATTAAATCATTTCAAAGGACGTTTAATTGTGTCGCGTGTATTAATCAGACGACGCTAAGGAGGCAGGCTCGTGCGTATTAACTCGTCCTTTGTGCATCGTCAAAGAGTTTCTGATAGCATCCAAGCTTTAAACTGTTTGTCCAATTAACTTAGCACATTAGAGATATTGAACATTATTTAATGCATTGTTGGAGAAATGCTCCTTTGTACAGTAAAACTTTGGAGTGCGATCATAATCCCGGAAATGTACGTTTCTTGTTCGTACCTCAAAGCATTCGTATACCAAAGCGAATTTCTTCATAAGAAATAATAGAGACTCACATGACTCACCTTACAGATTAAGAATATTTATTCAGAAACGCTAAATACAAAATACGTTTTTAAAAAATGGTGGTTCCATTTAAATAAATGAAGATGACATATCTCTAAAAAAAAATGACATAGACAAAAATATTTTTGGTATCGTGTGAGCCCCATTGAACTATTCAATTTTATTCTCAAAACATTTGACGTATCTTTAAAAACAACAAAGAAATTTCAGGTGCAAATATTACGTGACTCACCCTGTATATAATGGAGGACATGATCTTGAATAATTATTTCGTTTGAAAAATTCACGGTTGGCTTTAGTTGCTATTTGCAAAAGAAGTTCGTCTCGTACGTGACAATGTGCACTGACGCACACAAACGTCGCTTATCTCGTATATAAAAAAACGTAGCTCGACAACAAAATGGGTGAGGGCAGCTGCTTTCTGCAAGTACGCTGCTGTGGAACGGTCGAACGGATCGATAAATCGGTTGGCTGTTTGTCGATCGCGTCGATCGAGATCCAATAACTCGAGTGTTCCGATGATGCGAGATAGATAGGACCGACAGCAGCGCGAACGAAAATCCGTGTTACGTGCCGTAAGAATGTAAATTGCTTTTGCCAGATTAATGTCACCGTGCTCAGCGTCGAATCGCCGTTTAATTAAATGAACGAGCAGAAGTGTTTTCGCCTGAACACAAGCCCGGCGTTAGATGGACACTGAATGATTATCATCAGGTTCAATCGTTCAACTAGAGACTAGATCGATCACTGGTTTTTGCGAAAAATCTATGCATAATTAAATTTCACGATTTAAGCTGCGATTAGAGGGAGACAATATTGAAAGCTTGTTAATAGGCCGGACAATGTACAATAATAGTATTATAAGAGCGTAATAAGATAAAGATGAAGTTAGAGTTAATATG